TCTAATGGCCACTGAATAAAAATAATTAGGGTTCAGAAAGTGATTATTTTACAGCTATTGCATAGGATTGTTTGTTAACTTTTAATTTATGTTTAATTATCATTAATTACTTTAGCGTATTTAGCATTTATTCATTAATTATTAACTATTTTGTATCTATTCATTAATTATTCACTGTTTATTTCCTTAATTAATTTTATTAATTTTATTAACTTACATTTTTTGTAGTGTGTGGTTATCTTATTTGCTCTGTTTAAAGTATTGGCTTTGCTTAAAGAATATTACGTTATCTTTTCTTTTTATGTGCCATATCATTTCAGGACGTAGGCGATCCTGGCTCTCCACCTCCCTCTCTATCCCATGCAGCTATAAACAAGTTCTTTCTCTCTCCTTTTCTGCCTATTCATTAGCTATTAGAATAACACAATAAACTGGAAATAACTAACATTGCTACCCATAATTTCTTAATTATTAACATATTTAAATAGTCTTACTACTACTTAAGCCACATGGCCTGAAGATTACGTTCAAGTAGTAAACAAATAGAAAACTTCGAAACTTATCTTCCTGATTTGAAGTTTTAGTCATTTTATCTGTTCATAAGGGGGTATTAGATAGCTTAACTAAATTTATTAACAGATAGCATAAAAATGTGTATATATGTATATTTAGGCAGCATATCTTTATTCAAACATGTTTCACTAAATAATATAAATATATGTCTATTTATTTTTATAATACTTCTTTCTAGTTCTCTAATTAGCTTCTTGATGTTAAGCTGAAATTCATCAAGGAAAGCATCGTAATTCTTGCTAACCAAAGCATTTTCCATGTTGCATTATTACCAACGCTGGTTTGCTTCCTTACATCGTAAACGCTTGTTTACCAAAATATCGTAGCAACAACGTTTAATTTTACAATAATTATAACAGAATTGCATTTACGCGTGTTTACAAAAATTATCATCACAACGATTACAGTTATATTAAGTTTTCTTCGTAATTCACCCCTGAAGACGATCTCGGAGGGGATCGAAAGTACTTAGGATGACAAGAACTACAGCGCCTTCCTTGATGAATTTCAACTTAACATCAAGAAGATAATTGGAGAAATACAAAGGAATATTATAAAATATACATGTCTGTATCATTCAATATATATATATATATATATATATATATATATATATATATATATATATATATATACACGAAGATAAACACACACACACACACAGACTTATATATATATATATATATATATATATATATATATATATATATATGGAGAAAGATATATATTCAGAGAGAGAGAGAGATTTTTTGAGAGAAATTTTTTGAGAGAGATTTTTTGAGAAAATAAAAAAAAAAATCAACAGCTGTTCAGAGGACTGGAATCATTTTTGTATTGCTTTTGTTTTTTACCACAGGGTTTCAATCGATTCGTTCTCCAGCCCTTTTCATGTTCGAAATCCGTAAGAGAGGGAGCTCTCTTTTCTCTTGGAATAGTTGAGACCATAAGAGAAAATGGCAGCTCATATACCAATTATTTCGACTCTTTCTTATCGAATTTAATGAAACGAAAGAAAACTATTTTTCCTTCTTTGATAGAATAACATTTTTTAATCGTCCATCTTAGAAACTAAATTTGGCAATAAAAGATATCTGCTTTGAGGATTGTTGCAAGTAACTGAAAGCACCCTTGAAAGATAATTGTTTCACCCCAGAAATATTCAGAAAAATACTGACCGCTAAACGCCGATACGGTGCACCTAAATGCAGGTGTGGATTGAAAGATTTCTATTTTTCTCTGTTGAAGCGTTTCATTCGAAATGTCATGCATCTTTCAACATTTTATTGAAAACGAAAGGAAAAGAATTTAGTTTGTCAAATTTGTCGAAACATTTTATCGTTTTTTATTTACAAAATATTAATTGGCTTTCTTAGTTTTCATGTTCAGGCGATACATTCATCTCATAAAGAAGGTCGAGAGATATTTCAAACCGGTTACTTAAAACTAAAGTTTAAAATCAAAGGATAAAACGCAAATAATTGTGCAACTTCCCGTATAAGTAACATTGTTTATATTATTTTCATTGGTTTCTACATCTTAAAAAACAACAACTAACATTTAATGAGTTCAGTATATTTTTAATTTCATAGGGGTTTTTTTAATTTCATAGGGGGATAGGTTTTCTGAGAGGGGGGTGGATTTTGATCTCATTATCTCTTTTTAAAAACAATTTTTAAAACAATTCACCAAGTGCAACGCGATAATTCCACTAAAACGCAACGGGAATCAAAAGAGAATGAGAAGACATTAGAAGGAACCAGAAATCGAATCCTAGGCAGGAAACAAGGGATAAACATCTACTCCTGTTCAATAGACCATGGAGGAGAGTGAACCGGTCGATAGGTGAATCTAACTACTACTCCTTGTTTTGTTTTTGTTGATTTTTACAGTTATGCTCACCCTTTACGAGTTATAAAGGGTTACATTATGAAAAGCCATGTGTGTGTGTGTATAAGCGAGTTGGAGATAATTGTTAACCGGAGCCTTGAACGGGTTAAGATTGTAGTGATCTCTCGGGAAAAACATCCTGTTAAGGAGTCGATTACACAGAGTAGTGGTTTGCCGGATTGGAACTTACATCTCACCAATGGAATACGGAGGGAACGTCGGTAGTTCGTTACTATGTAAGTGGCGTGGCGTGTGTATCTGAAGGTTTCGACGGTGGGACTACGGAATGTAGAGCACTTTCCGTAGAAGTAGCAGTAGAGCAGCAAGAGGCTTGCCACATGCCACCTGTAGGAAAGAGATTGAAGGGTGGAGAATAATTCATTACCCACAAGGTCTCGGAGTGGCTTTTAAACTGGAGAATTAGGTCAGGAGGAATTAGTTACTTACTAGAGCGGTACAGGGAGCCGACCATTTACCTGTATCCTTAACAATGGATCATATGTACGAGTTCCACTTGAGGTCAGGTGTGAATTTGAGGCTCAACAGTCTTACGGAAAACGAAAGGAAAACGTTCTTGAGAATTTAGTTTGTCAAATTTGTCGAAACTTTTTATCCCTGAGAAGAACTCCGTCCATCCTGATTGGTGGTAGATCGGGATCAGATCGGTGAATGTAACTAGCTTGGTCTTCGAGGCATTGAATGTAACCAGCCAGTTTTTACTCCATTGTGTAGTTTGTGCAAGATCGGAAGAGAGATCAGTCACCAATCTCTGACCATCGAAAGTTTTAGAGTTGCGCTTGTATATAGTCGTATCATTGGAATAGATTTTTACAAATGATTTGAGTATACTCTTAGGCAGATCATTTATGTAAATCAAAAAGAGGGTTGACCTGAGGAATGACCCCTGGCGGACGCCTGCGTTGACCGCTAGGGCTCCGGAGGACTCGCCATTAGTAACTACTTTCAGGGACCTACCTGTTAAGAAGGATTTTATGATCAAGTAGAGACTTCCAGTGATTTCATAACTGGAGAGCTTGTGTAACAAACCTTTGTACCACACTTTGTCGAAGGCCTTTGAGATTTTCTAGTGCTATGGTCACCGAGGTTTGTTTGTCTTCAAGAGCCTCACTGATTCTGTGAGTAATGGTAGTGGATCGGGCCGACCAAAATCCATACTGCTTGTCACTGAAGAGGTTATATTTTCTCGGTGATCGACGACCTCCCTCATGATGATGACCTCAAAAAGCTTTTCTGAGGAGATTGGTGGGCCTGTACTGGGAAGGGGAAAGCTCGCACATCCGCATTCTTGAAAACCGGGAATACGTTTGACACATTCCACAGGCTTGGGCAAGATTTCTCCTTCAAGCAGTGGTTGAATGACTTTACTGGGATTGGAGATAGTTCCTGGTTGGTTATTCTTAAAGACAATAACTACAATTTTGTCTGGGCCAGTAGCTTTCTTAGGATCAAGGCCTTTGATAAGTATAGAGATTTCGTGCTATAATGGTAATATGAGATTGTATTCAGCGAGACGCGAGAAGTTGGGGAGGGGATGGTCTTTATCGTCTAACGTTGAGTTAGAGGCAAAGATGAAAGCGAAGAGGTTCGCCATATCTGTCGGGAAGATATGACCTCGGGTCATTTATAATTGTGGGTACAGCCACCTAACCTCTGTTCATGATTTGCTTGGTGATTTTCCAGAATTCAGGGGATCCAATCTGTTTCTTTTCAACCTTGGTCTGGACTGCACGTGTGCAGCTGCACTTGGTGCTTCCTAGAATTTTTTTGCAGCAATTTCGGACATTTCTGAATGCAGTAAAGGCCGAACTACTTCGCTCCTTGCGATAGAGGTTGAAGTAGCGGTTTTGGTGAGTTATGTTTGCAGTGCATTCAGGAGTAAACAAGGGTTGACTGTTTGGTTTTTGTTGGGATTTTGTGGGGGGTATAAAACTCTCCATTCCAGAAAGGATCCAATAAGTGACAAGGGCAGCAGTTTTGGAGGTAGCATGCTTGAAGAAGGTCGGAAGGGAAGCTTCCATCATGTAGGATCGAAAGTTGTCTTAATCTGCCTCCTAAGAACAAAATAGTAAATAAAATTTATACTTTAAATATTTACCCATGTAAAACCTGTTAAAAGATATTTTTCTGATTCTTCATTCAACACAGAAACGTTGGAACCTTTTTTTGTGTTGAATGAAGAACCAGGAAAATAATTGAAAATAACTGAATAGTTAAAATGTTAGGATAAATAGCAGCACACTGGAGGAGGAGGAAATGTAATTAATTGATTGATTGATTCATTTTCTACGGTTTATCAACCGTTATTATTTGTAGTTTATTTAAAGCCGGAAAATATTTTTAGATTGTAAGAATTTTTGTTTTCTTAGATAAAAATATTTTAGGAATACAATTCTTGCTAATTGACCTGGGGTGGGGGAGAAAAAGGGGATTCATAACTTTTCCGGTTGTAAAGTCACTTGGCCTAAACATTACAAATATATATATATATATATATATATATATATATTAGCATATAAATAATGCACTCATTACTATCCTTTTCTCTTTCTTTCTCTCTCTCTCTCTCTCTCTCTCTCTCTCTCTCTCTCTCTCTCTCAACTCTCAATCTGTGGTGAGTATTTGTAGAACCAAGACGGAAATAAATATCAAGACAGTCAAATACCAAATGAAAAAAATGATTTCTGATTCGAAGAATTGCGCAATCTTCTGGTTAATAGATTAATGCTTTGACCATAAATATTTAACGTTTTTCAACCAACGGGTCGTATTCCACCAACAATAAAAAAATAATGCTTCTTGATCCTTTTCAAGGGTATTTAAGCAAAGTTTCTAGACGGTCAAGTCAGTAAGTAGAGACAGACGCAACAATTCACGACGCTCGGCTTCAAAGGAATTCCTTTACTCATTCACCAAACTATGTGACACTTACACTTTCCTCCTCATGTTCTCCCTTTCCTCTTCTTTCTTACAGATACACGCGAAGAAATCACATTTCTTTTCATCTTAACAAACAGCTACAAGCAAGAACAGTAAAAACGTTAACACCCATACACGCTAAGAAACATATAGTTATAAAAAGAATGAAAATAAAAGAAAATTATATTTTTTACATTTAAACAACTTATTTTGTCTTTGTCTTTGTTATGGGTTGATTCAAATCCCCCCCCCTAAAATATAACGAACCCAACTAGAATTGGAACTCTGTTCTCCGACTAACAACTCCGAGCCATTATCCATTACACCACCCATACATCCAAGTTTATAGCACCTGGTATTGCCAAGTGGTCACCCATCCAGTTACTGACTAGATTCGACGTTGCTTTTTTTCAGTGATTGTGCGGGAACCAGTGTTTGAACTTGATTGATCGCAAGCCTTTATTCGTAATTAAAATAAGAATGCCAAACATCATTACTGTTCAAAAAGAAGACAAACGATTGGATCATCGATATAGCAATACAAAAGGACTTAAGGGTAAGTGAGGTAGAAAAGAAGAAATTTGTCAAGACTTGAAACATGCGAATCTTGTGGTGACTTAAGAAAATAAAAATTGTTCCTTTGGTGTTGTAAGAATGCGTCGAACAGTGAGACAAAATCCAGAAAATAGTTGGGTAAAAGTGGACTGTGATTCGAACTGAGATGTTTTTTTTTTCAAAAATAGCACTCATTGGGACACAGTTATTATTCTGAGAAAGGTTTTGCCGATGTATAAAAGAAAGGATTTATGACCCGCTACTAATCATTAAATTACGAATGAGGCCTGCTTGAGAAAAATATGATTAAAATATTAATAATAAATATCACATAATTCTGTTTATCCCTTCATTTCTTAGTTAGCATTTACACACCCTGCCATTAACTTAGAAAAAAAAAACAATGAATCATTCCTATTCGCTTGCCAGGATCTGTAATACAAAGTAAAGATATATCATAATAATTGATTCAAATAATGAAAATTTTATAATTAAAAGAAAACTTAACCAACTTAGAACCATGTCTACACAACTATAAAATTAAATGCCCACACAAAAAAATCGTCATCATAAATAATTTAATATAGTATATCTAATATTTTCTTCACGCAAATTGTTTTATAACGATCTCAAAAATAAAACACTAATTAACAATAATTTCTTTAATAGTATAACAGATTAAGCTAAACTTTGAAAAAAAGTGAACAATGAACCAAATAGTAATAACTTAAAAAACGCCAACTACATAAAAAATGATAAGAAATATAATAATTCAATACTTATCACTTATCGACATAAGGAAATCAAACTTATCATTACAGAAAACGAAAAACATTCCATTATCAACACCAAAAGATGCAACAAAAGCTCAAAACTTCAATAAATTAATCTTACCAAAATGGAGAATGTCTCTATAATAATAATAATAATAATAATAATAATAATAATAATTAAATTAACACATACATTGTTACATAACTACTATATTATTGTACAAATTCTGCGATTTAATTGTATATCACTAAACAACAAAACAGCAAAAAACAAGAAATCCGCTCATTGCTTATCAATAAAGCCAAAGTCTGGTATAACATGGCTTGTAAAAAATAGCTATAAATACTAAAAACATTAACCGTGAAACAAGCTAAGAACCCAATTTAAAACAAAAATTTAGAAAAAAACATATCAATTATATTTCATGACTAATGAATAAAAAAAAGACATACGATGATGCGATACTTTAAAAAATGACTTGACACGTGAAGATGTGGAATTAAAAAAAAGACAAAATTAGCATAACATAAAAAATACAATACACTTGTATAGTCACATTATCAACAAAGTCTTTTTTTATAAAAAGGGTCTTGTAAAGAACGAAATGTCAGAAATTGGATAATTTATATTCACATTTTCGCAGTAAACGAGGAAATGGTAAAAAAATATTAAAAAATTAAACAAAAAATCCTCAAAAACAAAGTTCATTACTTTTTTAACTTGTATAAACGAAAGATTGTTACCCAAACACACCCGATATACAAAAATATGTATATATAAATTAGCACAGTCTGGTGACAGACAGTTTCACGCATTAAGGGACTTGTTGAGGGCTTGCAATGCCTGATCAGTACCGAAGACTCAAACATACAAAATATATCATTTACAAGCAACAATTTGAAACAAAGTCAAAATTCGGTTTAACCAAATCGAAAATACCATTTATTCAAAAACAACAGTATGTGTGTGATTCGGTTGTGTACGGTATTAGTCTTCGAGTATATAGGTAAAAGTGGTTTTCACACTTGTGCACATGGTGAAGAGTTAGAAATAAATGTCTTTTCCTTAATTACATTTGCGAGATCAGTAAAACAGTACTTAACTGGTGTCGCTAATATGGAGCGTTCCCAGTTCTTGACCTGGTTATCATGGCTATGTCATGAATCACTGAGTTCGCTCTTTGGCCGCGGTTGTTGAAGAAAAGGGAAAGGGTTGAATGACTGTTTTTTTTTTTCCATCTGCTGACATGAAGTTCAGTAGCTGGCGGATTTCTCTATACCTAAACTTAACATTTTTGCGCTATTTATATCTTTACGGCGGCTATCAATGACGTAGGATGCGGACGTAGTTGTAAGTTAAAATTCGATAATTGAGATAAATGCTCGCGGCGAGGAAAATGAGTGTAAGAAAAAACGTATTTTCTGACCAATTGTTTTTTAGGTCCGCTACAGACTAAATGAAGTGCTGGTTTCTATGTCTGTGCTGCAAACGCTCTATCCCTGATATTGATAATCCAAATAAGTCATTTATATATACATATACACAGGGCCGGCGCTAGGGTTTCGCTCCCTCCGCGAAACTTTTATATGCCCCCACCTCTCTACTACATGTCGATTTCAAAGTTTCCCAACCTAGGGGTCACAAATCCTCAAAGAAAAATTGGGAGGGTAGGGCTGCTCATTTTTTTAAATTACCAACACCCAGAGAAGTATCCAATTTAAATGAAAATTTCAGTATATCATTAATTATTTACTTTTATAATGAATGGGTTTTCTTTATTTAAAATAAACTGAGAAAATGTTATTCTTTTTGTAATAACTACCAATGTTTTCATGACTAAATTTTACTCGAAAAAATTTCCATTCAAGAAATTTCCATAAAGATTAATCGCCGACGCATTTCCACCGAAAAAAAAAAGATTTACAAAAATTCCAACGCAACACATGAAAAAACATCCTCGAAAAAACTGGATTTGAAAAAAAAAGCAAACAAAAATAAAACGGTATTAATGCATGAGAGGATTTGATGTATTTATTGTTTTGTCAATCGTTTGACGGAAAAAATTAGGGTCATTTAGGGTTAGTGGTAGCCTTGGGTTAGATCTTTTCCGTCAACGTTTGACGAATGAGGTAATCTGCAATTTACATTTACATAGACGGTTTACCGTCTCTTACTAGTGTCTCTTTTTACCTGATCCTGTCATGCATCTGCACCAAAAAAACTACAAAAATGTTTCCTCTAATACAATCCATAGCTAAATAAATGCATAAATTGATTTAAAAGAACTGTTCAGACAGAAAATTATAATTAAAAAAACAAATAAGCGCTACTGAAATTATCACGCGGTTGACAGTTTTGGTAAGCACCGGCTCTGTCGATTATTATAGTTGATGAAAAGTTGGGAAAAAAAGTAAAAAGTACAAAAAAAAAAAAAAAAAAAACTGAAACTAGCCCGTTTGGAGCTCGATCCTTGTCGGGTATTCTTGTATAGTACGCACCGAACCAACCATGCCGATACACGATGAATGACAATCTGACATTATTTTTAAAAAATAACTTTCAAAAATGGCGGATGGCCATAAAACAGTACTGAAAAAAAAAAATGACAAAGGCCACAACAGAAAAAAAAAAAACCGCGCCACCCACCTCGATCGGGAGTTTCGGGATAAGACGCGCCGGTCCTGCATATAGATATAGAAACATTATGTCTACTTATCTTTATAATGATCCATTCCAGTTCTCTAATCAAGTTCTTGATGTTAAGAGGAAATTCATCAAGGAAGGCGTCGTGAGGCACTCTATATCAAAATCAATTAATCAACACTCAGTTTATTACGAGCATTGCAGCAACGTGTTCAAGTGCATTTAACGGTCTTTTGAAATTCTACCAATTCCCGACCTGCTCCCTTATATTGGGACGCTTGTTTCGAAAAAAAATACCATAGCCACAACATATAAATTTTAAATTTTAAAATAATTATAACAGATCGCACTCACGCGTGTTTCTTTTTTAAATCCCCATCACAACGAAATGCAGATTTTATCACAGTTACAATAAGTCTGTCCTTGTAATTCCCCCTTGAGGATGATCTTGGAGAAGACTGAAAGTACTTCACCTTAACATCAAGAAACAGATTAGGGAACAGGAAAGCATTTTTATAAAAATAGACATATGTCTATATTATCCAATGAAACATGTTTGAATGAAGTTATGCTGCCTAAATATACATACACACACGCGAACACACACATATGTGTGTGTGTGTGCGCGCGCGCACGAGCGTGCATTTCCTTTTATGTTGTAGTCGTCATTTAGTTGGCAGTGTATATGCTTAGTTGTATCAAGTACATATATTTAATTTTCGG